CAAAAGGTCAGAGTCGGAGTGTCTTCAGATGTCCTTCGAAATCTTGGAGTCCTCTTGCGCTGTCTTGTTGGCCTTTTGGCAGTCACAGGAGCCTCTTGGGTGCCCCTGGGGGGCCTCAGGGGGGATTCGTGGGGCCTCTTGGGTGTCTCTTGGGGCCTCTTGGGGACATCTTGGGAAAGAGCGCCAGTGGTCCACCTCGTAGTTGAAGGGGGGGGGGGTGCTCCCAGACCCCCCCCCCCTTCAAAGGGGGGGGGAAACATTTTCGGACTTCCGCCCTTCCCTTCTGGGGGGGGGGGGGCGGGGATTTCGGACCCCCCTCCCCCCTTTGGCCAGGCAGGGGGGGGGGGGGCTAGGGTTAGCCGTAAGGGGCAGGGTTCAGGCTTAGGGCAGGGGTTAGGGTTAGGGTGGGGGTATTCGGGGTTAGGGGTTAGGGTTGAGGTATGGGTCAGGGTAGGGGTTAGGGTTAGAGCCTAGGGTTAAGGTTAGGGTTAGGGTTAGGGTTAGGGTTCATGGTCGGGGTAAGGGTTTGGGTCCAGACTCCCTCCCCGCCCGCAAGCCGTTTCGCTCACTCCCACCCGCCCTCCCAACACATACGTAGCACCCGAGCCTGACCCGAGCCGCAGCATATGCAGCAGTCGTCTTTGGATGGGCAGCTACTGGGGGCGAATCCGCCGCCGCCGCCGCCGCCCGCCGCTGCCGCCGCCGCGCCGCCGCCGCCGCCGCCGCTGTCCGCCGCCCCGCCCGCCGCCGCCGCCGTCCGCCGCCGCCGCGGCGCGCCGCCGCCGCCGCCGTCGCCGCCTGCCGCTCCGGCCGCCGCCGCAGCCGTTGCTGCCGCAGCCGCTGCCGCCACCGCTGCCGCCGCCGCGCCGCCGCCACGCCGCCGCCGCCGCCGCCGCCGCCGCCGCCCCCGCCCCCGCCGCCGCCGCCACCGCCGCCGCCACCGCCGCAGCCGCCGCAGCCGCTGCCCCCGCCGCAGCCGCGGCTGCCACCGCCAAGTGTACTCTGTATTGTTTGTTGTCAGGGATGATGCGAGGAGGCCGCATCGGGATTGCTGCGCATGCTCCGAATTTGCAGGCAGAGTGCGTTTTGTATTGTTTTTTGTAAGGGATGGTGTGTGGATGGGGGGGGGTGCCCGCATTATCCCTGGTTGGCTCCCAGTCGCTTGGGGGAGGGGGTGTATTTTAATGGGGAGCAGCGGTTAAGGGTTAGGGTAGGGGTTGAGGGCAGGGGCTAGGGTTTGGGTAGGAGTTAGGGTTGGGATTAAGGGGTTAGGGTTAGGGTTTCGGCTTAAGGTTCGGAGTTAGGGTTGGGGTTAGGGTTGGGGTTAGGGTTAAGGTTAGCGGTTAGGGGTGATGGTTTAGGGTTGAGGTTCGGTTAGGGTTAGGGTAGGGGTTAGGGTTAGGACTCGGGGTCATGTCGTGGTTCGGTTTCCAGTTAGGGGTTAGAGGGTATTCGGGGTTTGGGGTTGGGGTTGAGGTAGGGGTTCGTGTTCGGGTAGGGGCTCGAGTTTAGGGGTTAGGGTTGAGTTTTTGGGTCGGGGTGAAGGTTAAGGTTCAGGATTAGGGTAGGGATCTACTAGGCGTGGCCACGAGTACACCTGGACCGCGAACCCACCTGCGGTGGCCGTCACTCCCACCCGCAAGCCACCCCACCATAAAGATCATCTCTCCCCTCGTTATAACCACATCGAATACAGCGTCGACGACGGCGACGACGGCGACGACTGATGTGCGATCCAGTTGGCACGCGAGTGCTCGAACGGGCGGGAAGAGTCGGGTCGGGCGGAAGAGATTCTGTACGCATGCGCAGCAAAGGCTATTTTTTGGAATAGGTGGATCGGCTCGCAACGGAAGGCACTTTGTATTGCAAAATACAAGAGATTCTGCACGCATGCGCAGGACATGTTTTTTTTGCAGTAGATGGAGCCGGTTCACATAACGGGGTCGCACTTTGTATTGTAGCATACAAGAGATTCTGCACGCATGCTCCGGAAATGCTATTTTTGGGGTCGCAACGGGGACTGGGCACTTTGTATTGTAAAATACATGAGATTCTGCACGCATGCTCAGGAAATTTTTTTTACAGTAGAATGAGCCGGGTCGAAACGGGGACTGGGCGCATGTGCAGCAAATGCTATTTTTTTGCAGTGGATGGAGCCGGTTTGCATAACGAGCGGTTTTGTAGTAGTCAGGGTTTAATGATTATAGGGTTAGAGACTAAGGGTAAAAGGGTTAGGGTTAGGGTAGGAGTCAGGGTTGGGATTACGGGTTAGGGTTAGGGTTAGGGCTTAGGGTTAAGGTTAGGGGTTAGGGGTTAGGGTTCGGGTTCGGGTTTGGGGTTTTGGGGTTAGGCTTTAGGGTTGAGGTTAGGGCTAGGGTATGGGGTTATGGTTAGCAGCGTGCGAGATTGATGTGGCAGTTGTCTCCGTTCCCTCATCCATGGGTTTTCGGCGCAAGGGTCTCTGGCCTATGCAGGCGCTCTCGCCCTACCTCGCGCAGGCCGCGGGCTGCGCATTCGGATGCTGGAGCGCTGGCGGTCAGAGGTGTATCTGCGCCTGCAACTGCGACGTGTCGGGCGGGATCGATTGCGACATCGTCGCGGTCCTTCAACGTCAGCTTGACTGCAGTGGGCCAGACCAGCTGGCGGCACCCGCCCCGGCGCCGTGCGTCTGCTCCTCGGCGCCTGCCTGGACGAGCGCCCTGGCGGGCTTCACCTTCGGAGTCGTCTTCGGAATCATCGGCTGCCTGGCATGCTACTGCGCCGTGATGTCAACGCGGCGCCATGGCGGAGGCGCGGGCCCCAGCACCACGATGGCTTCGCTCACTGATGCCAGGAGGTCGCCTGTTCGTGCTATACAGCAGGGAGGAGGGGCTATGGCGCGAGAGGCTGCTCTACGCTCGCGTGCGGGCGGACGGGTGGTCGCGGGTGGTCCTGACTCCGACTCTGGATCAGCAGCATGAGGAGGATTTCTACCATGCCGTGGAGATCCAGGCTTGCGGTCCCCAGGGCGGCGCGCCCGTCAAGTTGTGTGGCAAGAACCTCTTCAAGCTCGGCCACCGGAGCAACTCTCAGTATGCGGTCTTCTTGGAGTCAGGCTCCCAGCTCGCGGATGAACTCGGGGCCGCAGTTGGGGCTGGTGAGCCTCCCCCTGATGATCTTCAGGTGGCCGCTCTCGACGACGGAGCGCCAGCCGCGGACGCCCGCGCGCCAAGTGGGTGGCGAAGGAGGCGCGGCATGGGTTCATGATGCTCGACCCCATTACCGTGCAGGGCTTGCGCTTCCTTCGCTCGGGCGACCGCGGGACCCTGTAGCTCCCCAGTGGCCCGATCGCCGTCGCGGTCGCCGACTCGGTCACAGGGGCCCTGGCGCCCCGCCTGGAGCTGCTGGACGTGCGCTTGCTAGGCAAGACGTTGGACTCCGACTTCAGGCGCGTGACGTTCGCCAAGCGCGCGCTGATGCTGACGGAGGCAATCGACGCCAACTGGCACCAGGCGCCCGCCACCACATTGTGGGTGTTGCGGACTCACGTGGAGGTCAACGCGACGCTCAAACAACGACACTTCCGGCGGCGCCGGGTCCTCGGCCTCGTGTCAGCCGATCCGGCGTCGAGCAGCACTGCTTCCTGTGCGAGCTGCTGGAGACCGCGGTGGCTCGGGGCGGCATCAACGTGGCGGCGCTGGAAGCTTTCGAGACAGTCTGGAGGCGCTTCCAGCTTTGGGTGGAGTTCTACGCGGAGGCGCTGCGCATCGCCGAGGCGGGGGGCCACGGGGGCGACCTGGACGAGAGAGGGCTCTTCTTGGGCAACCACCGCAGCAAGGGCCTGGCCATCGCCATCCCCCGCCTCGAGCAGTGCGTGGCGCCCAGGTTGCAGGGGGGGGGTGCGCTGCTGAAAGGGCGCCGCAAAGGCCGCGAGGAGCGACGCCTCGCTCGTGGGAAGTTACTTTTTGTCCGAAGGGCCACCTGGGCGAAGATGAACTAGGCGGCGCGTTGGCAGCCTGGCGACATGCATTTGGGGGTGTTAAGTCGACGCCAGCGACGCCAGCTTCCGGCTCGAGCGTCGGGGGCAATCTCAAACAAAAAGGAGCGACGCCGTTGCTGGCGCCGACGGAGCTCCGCCAGGAGGTTCTGCCCGGCCCTCGGGACGTGGGAGAGGGCGCGGCCGCGGGCGGGCTTGACGCCCCGCTCGGCATCTTCATCTGGCTGCCTGCCGTCGTCCCTGGGCGGTGGGCTTTTCCCACAGGGGAGGCGCCATTGTTGTGGTCAGTGTGCTTGGCGTATTGTTGAAGCTATGGAGGTTCAACGTGATGTGCTTCCACTGCCGCTGGGTGCGGGGCTTGCTACCGAGCTGTCTGGCGAGGCTGCGGGTGGCAGTCAGTCTCGCCGACGCCGTCGGGCGCAGCGCCGCGCTCAAGAGCAGTGGCTGCGGGGGGGCATCGAGGCCTTGAACGAGCTGGGGGGCCGCGGAGAGGTCGCTGACGCACGTCGGCGACTTTCCCTACAGCAGCAGCCGGCTGTGCGACGCCTAGCTCGGGCTCAAGGCCGCGTCGGACCACCCGTCAGACTTCGACGCCCAGGGGGCGTATAGGGCGCTCCAGGGTTCGGGGGGCGGTTGCGCGGACTCGCCAACCGATGGCAAGATTGCTACTTGCAGACGTTGTGAAGTTGGTTACCGCGAGTCGGAGCCTGAGGCTTTGCTTTTCGTTGATTGTTTCAGCTCCGACTTGCAGTCAGTCTCGGCGAGTGGTCAGGGCCTTCTTCGCGAAGATCACGATCGCGACGCTGTTCTTCTTGGTGTTCCCTGCAGCCGGCCATGGGCGCCAACCTCTGCAAGTGCGGCTCCGACTGCGGCTGCTTGTTTGGGGGGCTCTTCGACCCCGGGGCGATCGAGGTCTGTTCCGCGCCTGTAGAGATGTGCGGGCTTTTCTGCGCGCCGGAGAAAGATGGGCGGCTGCGCCTCTTATGGGGCACAAGGCGGTCGAGCGCTCACTTCTTGCCCCCGCCCTTCACCGCGCCCCCTTTCTGGCAAGGCGCTGGCTGCGCTAGAGATCGACAGTTCCATTGGAGGACAGCGGTTTGTGGCGCCCAGCGCAGACGTCGAGGTCTGCTTCTACCAGTGCGAGCTCCCGGCGAACTTGCGCCCCTTCTTCGCGCTGGAGGGTGTCGACCTTCGTTTTCTTCCTGGTCGTCTTCGCCAACACGTTGGACACCTGGCGGTGAACGGCCAGCTGCTGTTCAGTCGCGCGTGGTGCCCATGAGGTGGGCCCGGTCGGTCTACCTCATCCAGCATGCACGCCTCGAGCTGATGGGGCTGGTGCGACCCTGTGACCCGTGGGTCCTGGACATGGTGCCGACAGAGCCGATCAGCGCCTCGCGCGTGGCGAAGATCTTGTACATCGGCAACTTCGCGGGCGGTGGTGGGGCCAGCTCTTGGCCATCCAGAGGCCGCAACTGCCGAGATGATGGGCGCCTTGACGGAGGCGGGGATTCGCTCTCAGATGAGCCCTGACTCGGACGCCCTCGGCGCGCGCGACTTGCCGGGCTTCTCCCTTGTCGAGCACCGCGACGCGTGGGCCCTCAGCGCCCGCATGTTCCGGAATATCACGGGCGCCTTGGCCTTCGTGATCTCCGCGGTCCAGGGCTTCGCGAACCTTGAGATGGAGCGGCTGCTGGGCCACGTGGTCAGTTGCTTCTTGCTGCGTCGTGAAATTCTCGCACTACTTCACGCTGCCTACGCTTCCGCGCGGGAGACGAAGGCGCGGCAGGTTCCGCTGTGGCCGTCAGTCCGCAAGGAGCTCAAGTGGTGCCGCGCCTTGCTGCCGCTGATGACCGTGGACATGTCGCGGCCGTAGTCTGCTAAGATCACTTATCATGATGCCTGCCATTGGGGTTGCGGGTTGTGTGGGGCGTCAGTAGCTCCATTGCAGGCAGGTCAGATCGGACGTCTGCATGATCGTGCAAGTTGGAAGGGTCTTCTTGCCAGTCATCGTCGGCCCAGGGATGATCTCGAGAAGCCAGACTGAGTGGAAAATGAGTTCAAACTTCCTCGTGATCGTGACGCTATTCTTTCTGCTGGTGCCGGTGCTGGCTTCACCGAGGTCGGTCCAGAGCTTCTGAGGAGCGCTTCGTGGTGCACGGTTGCAGCCAGGCCATTTGCCGCCAGCCAGTCAATGCACTTGTTAGAGGGAGCAGCATTGTTGCATGGGTCTCGTAGAGCCGCCCGAACAGCACACATCATGCTCATCGTCTGGTCTTTGGGAGATAACATGAGTCTCATCTGTGCGTTGTGCAAGGGCAGAGCTACCGACTTCAGATTGAACTCGATTTGTCGCGAGATCCTGGCAATCAGCTTGGTTGCAGATTTCAAGTTGGCACAGCGTTGGATTCCATCAGAACGACATGCAGCAGACAAGCCTTTCCGTCGATACATGCCCAAGTGGAGTAGAGAGCAGCCACAGCCGCCTCGGCTCGAGGATGGCGAGAGGACCCCGCGCTTGTCGCGACCGACCAGCGCGACCAGTGCATTCCAGGGTAGCCCGCCCCCGCCCGACTTCTCGGCCGAGGCCTCCGCCCGCGGCGCCGGGGCCCGCTGGGGGCCGAGGGGCGCCAGCAGCCGCCGCCCTGCGGCCGCGCGATGCGCGTCGCGCCTCGCAGCCCGCTGGAGCTCGGGGGCGCCGCCGGGCCTCGACCCTCAGGCCTGTGGCCCCGCGGCCGCCAGGCCTCGACCCAGTGGGGCCCGGGGCGCAGCGTGGAGCTGGCTCGTCTGCGTGGCCGCCTGGTACCTCGCCTCACGCAGCTGCAGGCCAACCGCGTCAGCGAGGCCACGCAGGCTTCCTACTTGGCCATCTTGGGGCAGCTCGTGGAGTTCCTGCAGTGCCGAGAGCTGCGGCAGTTTCCAGCTTCGGCCTGGGGCCCGATTCTGATATTCTGGTCGACTTCATCGAACGCCGCTGCGACCGGCAGGAGTCGAGGGGGGCTGCTGTCCGGGTGCTGTACGCGCTGCTGTAGGCTTCGCCCTATCTCGGCGGGGGGCCCCACGCATGCCCCCCCCTCGCGCGTTCACTCCCATGTGCGGCAGGACACGGATCGGCCCGCCATCGTCGCGGCCGCCGCCGCCTGAGCAGGCCGCCTGCGCCATTGCTGGCAAGCTGCTAGACTTTGGCCGCGAGAGGGCTGCCCTCGGATGCGTGGTCATGTTCGAGACGTACTGCCGCATTGGCGAGATGCTGGGCTGCGGATGTTCCAGATCATCCCGCCCGACGCGCGCCCCTCAGGCGCGGCAGGGTGCCCTGGTGTCGCCCTCGACGCGGTCGGGTTGCAGGCCCCTCGAAGACGGGGGGGATGGACAGCAGCGTCGCTATCGACCGGCAGGAGTTTCAGTGGGTGGGGATGCTGCTGGTCATGCTCAAGTACGCCTTCATTGTCCAGCCCGTGGAGCTAGTGGTCATCATCTCGCACAGTGCCGTCCTCACGCTGTTCGAGCGGGCGGTGCAGGAGCTGGACATTGGCGCGCTGCAGCCCACGCCGCACTGCTTCAGACACGGCGGGGCCAGCCGCAACCGAGCTCCTGGGCGACGGCCACCGCAGAAAGTTCAGCGCCGTGGAGCGTGGAAGTTTCGCAGCAGCTTGGCCCGCTACGACGAGCACGGTCGAGTGGGACTTCAGCTCCAGCTGCTCCCAGCACGCGTTCGCGATGCTCTCGCATGTCCCGCGTGGGGCGCGACTTCGGGCGGCGCTTCGCCGGGCTTTGCGGCCAGGCAACCAGCTCCGCATCTCCCTCGAGCTGTTCGTGGGCACTGGTGCCCGTTCAACGGCCATGAGCAAGAATGGCGTGGCCGTGCTGGCTCTCGATGTCAACCAGGGCGCCCGCGTGGACTTCCTCAGCGACGACGCGTGCTCGCGCCTCCGAGGCTGGATCGCTGGAGGCGTGGTGCTGGCGACATGGTCGGGCGCGCCCTGCGGCGGCTTGACGCGCGCTCGCCGAGGGCCGCCAGGATCTCGGGTGCCACGCGCGCTTCGGGGCCCAGAACACCCACGAGGCCTACCGCGCCTTGTGGGTCGAGATCGAGGAGTGCTGGTGGAGTCAAACCGCTCGGCGCCGCGGGCTCTTGGACTACTTCGGTGGGCGGCCAGCCGCGATGTCCCAGGCGGGGGGGGGAACCCCGACGCCAGCTACCTCTGGGGCCTGCCCTCCGCCAGCACTTCGCCACCAAGTACGAGACCGCCGATTATGTGGTGGACTACTGTGCGCGTGGTCGGCCTTTTCGAGCTTGCGCAAGATTGGGGATCTTCAACGTGCGCAACACCATGAAGCTTCAGAGGCTTAGATGTCATGGCAGGGGGCTGTGCGACTACAGCGGAATGCCGCGCGAGAACCTCTCGGGCGCTAGGAAAGGGGGCAGCCTTTTTCACCAGTGCCAAGGCTGTCCATCCGCCGATGCTGGCCGATGTTCTTGCTACTGAGCTCTTCACAGCGTGTGCCATGACAAAAAACACAGGGAGGTGTAATCTTCCACGGTGAACCACTTACAGTGCTGCAGATGGGTTTACTTCAGTGATCAGGTTTCGTTTGCGCGTGGTGCTTGGCTCGCCGTTCGCTTTTCCTCGTCAGAGCTTCTGTCGTGCAGCAAATGGCTGCTAGAACGTGCGCATCATGTGTAGCAGCATGCGAGATTGATGTGGCAGTTGTCTCCGTTCCTCCATTCATTGGTTTTCGGCGCTCGCCCGAGCCCTGCCGCGGAGACTGCCCGCCTGCCATTTTGTGTTTTTCTCCCATATCCTAAGATGGTTTTTTTGCCATTACTTGGACGCCTCCTACCCCCTCTTTTCTCCCCCCTTCACTCGTACTTGCTCATACTCAGACTTGC